CAAATAAAAGTTTATTAGATTGCACAACAATGAGCACAACAATTGTGCAATATATTAGCTAGTTCACAAAAAGGACAGTGTTCGTTGTGGTCTTTTAATGCCATTAATGCATTTTATCAGTTCATTTCATCTGTGTATGAATCGCAGTTTTGTCAATAAGGAGCCATTTCTTGAGAAGTGAACTCATAAACTAAACAACATGAATTACAATAACAATAATAATAATAATAATGGATTGCATTTATACAGCACTTTTCGAGACCCTCAAAGCGCTTTATAATTCCACTATTCATTCACTCTCACACTCACACACTGGTGGAGGCAGCTACAGTTGTAGCCACAGCTGGGGCAGACTGACAGAAGCTGCCATATCGCCCATCGGCCCCTCTGGACAACACCAGTAGGCGGGAGGTGAAGTGTCTTGCCCAGGGACACAACGACCAGGACAGACAGAGCTGTCGTCCCACATTTAACTTAAACATATTTATTTTTTTATTTGCACTCAAAATGAATCAACTTTCAGCAAAACCCATAATTACAGTTCTGTGTTAAACAATTACAAAACTTTCAGATTCACACACACCACCACCACCAAACTCAGACATTAGAACAGTTATTTCTACTACTCAAACTACATTTCTTATTTATATATTAATCAAACTAATTCTGATTTATATTTGACCAAAAATGCTTTATTATTAGGAAATAAGAGAAAAGCATTTTTACTCACATAAGGCTGGATATTAAGACCTTTTAACCTCTCTGAGCTGTGTTGTGGAGGTGGCTAGTTGGAGGATTTCAATCTCTTTCTACTAATGCATAGCTTGGGAAACAAACAACGTGTGGGACTAATAAAGGTTATCTTATCTTATCTTATTGGAGAATTCATTAATGAAGCAGAACACGTGAAGTAGGCAGAATCTGGACTCATCGTTGAGAATAACTGTCCCCCACATGTTCAGGTTCAGTGGACATGTTGCTGACGTGCTCTTTTGGACCAAGCCCGTCCATATCAGTCAAACATAGCATGCTTGGAGAAGACACCGCTGCAGTAGTCCATACCCAAAAGTGCTGCTGATTAGGCCCCAATTAGCCATGTGACTCTCATCACCTGGAGTACCAGAAGCTCAAAAGATTCAATAACAGAAGAAGCTGTTTGGCTGTGTTTCATGGGCACAACCCACAAATGCATTTTCTTTATCAATTGTAATGGACTTGTTCTTATCACAACTGGTCATGGCTCAGATCCCTACATTTGTTGGTTTTGTATTAGAAATAGAAATACAACCATCAGTCACAAAACTGGAGGCACTAAAAAATGAAATAAATGTACTATTAAACACGGACTGTCTTTTACTAGGCCACCTGTCAAAGGGCAAAGGTAAACAATTCTTTATGTGAATGTGTTGGAAGCAGGGATTTACCTGCAGTGAATCTCAGAACTGGGCCATGGGCCAATGGAGAAAGCTGGTTTGGTCACCTGGTCGTGGTTTTTTCCTCTTCACTGAGGACTATACATTAGGACTAGGAGAGGATACGCTAGAACACTGCCTATAAGAAAAAATCAACCCATAAAGTTCTCGTGTCACGATATTCATGCTCGATGTTGAACTACCTGCAGCCCACATGTACCCCATCGAGGCAGGAGAATGCCCGATGGTAACAGAATATGACTAAGTGCAAAGTATTAACTTGACCTTCAAAATCCCCAGATCGCAGTTCAGTCTAGTCTGCAGGAAGAATGAGTCTGATCCACGAGGGCCCTGCCTATAAAATATCAGGATTTACAGGATCTGTAACACAGGGGACTCTCAGAAGTCTCGCAGAGTCGGGTCTCCCTGGCTCAGAGCTGTTTCAGCAGCCGGAGGAGCCACACAATTTTAGACGAGTAGTTTACAACTTTACAACAGTTTTATTCCAGAAGATGGCAACAGTGTTAAATCAATGGTTAAAACTGACTTATCCAAACATTTGTAATTTGGATCCATTTCTTCAATTAAAAAAAGGACAGTTTATTCAAATTGGAAGATGTAGCAAATAATAAACCCTTCATTTTACTTAACATCTCTTTACATTTTGTGTACTGCCTGTCTCATTCATTAATGTGTTGGTGAAACTGGTGATGAAGGTGTGTTTATTTGTTTTTAATGGTAGTAATTACTATCACTGGGAAAACTTTCCATTTCTTATTTTCTCAAAAACCTTTGAATTCAACACTTTATCTCACAATACCAAATACAACAGGAACTAAAATTCTACAATAAGGAAACTTGAAGTATGAAGTGAAGCACTCTGGAACATCGCTGCTGGCTGAAACAGAACAAACACAGGTGATAAGGCATGCGGAGTAAGAGTACAGTTCACATATGACCGTACGATGAAACACTGAGCTGCTGACGGTGAGGACGTCACTGCTGTCATCAGTTGTCCTCACAGCCGGGACGCTTCCTGTAGTTTTTAGTCATCATATTCCTGAAGGAGGTGAACTGGCACCTGGACTCTTCTACCTTCTTTTCTTTTTGCACCTCTTTCTTTTCCTCTCCTTGACCCATAGCTCCACTCGTGTCCTTCTCTTCACCTTTTTGTCCTTTCTCAGTTTTGGCTAGATGTTCTTCTGTTTTCCTTCCTTCTGCCTCTTCGTCCTCCTCCTCCTCCAGTAGGTGACTGAGATGCATTCCTGTCTCCTTTGCACTCACAAGAGAAAGCTGATCATTAGGTTGTTCCTTCGGCAGTTGCTTGGGTCTGAAGATCATCTTGTGCTGGAGGTCACAAGGGGAACTGCCTCTTGCCTCTTGCCCCAGGCTGGACAGGAACTGATAAGCCACCCTGCTATTTTCCTGATCGCTGCTCTCATTCACATCCTCCAGACTGTAATGTGTCCAGCGCTCAGGATGCACTAGGTAGTCTGGGACTAATCTCTTCTTTGGTGGTGTGGGACAGATGGATGATGGATGGCTTGTGTTTTGACTGTGAAGTGAGGATTCGTCTGCAACAGTGTTCTGATTTAGAGAGGAGAAAGTCTGCCTGCCAATACTGTCTAGGCAGTCAAAGATACTGTGGCTGCGGTCAGAGAAGGCTGAGGTCCCTCCACTCAGACTGAATGAACTCTGAGATATGGGAATAGCTGCTGGTGCACACACATCATCATCATCATCATCACTGTGGTCTAGGTCTGGGTCAAATGGAGCTCTGCTGGGTTGTTGTTCAGGCTCAGATTCATCACTGGCTGACAGCTGGTCGCCATCGTCACTGTTTATCATATCACCGTGCTGTCTGACATGCTTCTGATCACACATCTTGACACCAACACTCTGACGAGAACCTGATGAGGGAGAAAGGAACAGAGCTGTGCTATAAATAACCATCATAAGGCCAACATGGTTCAACTGTTGTTCCTCAAAGAACATTGCAAAATCAAAAAAAGCATTTCATGCTATTGTTTTGTAATTATATTTAAACTTGTTCTCTTGACGCTGCAGGGACTCCTGTTACAATGACAATAAGGATATACAGATTCTGGACAAGTCAAAACTGGATGACAATACTTTGTGTTTTCCACAAACTCTCCAAGTTTTCAAACTGTTTCAATGTCTCTGAGCTTCTTTACTGGAATACATCATTACAACGGTGGTAAAAAAAAACCCTACGATTGTACACTCGTGTCTGAAATCCAGCTGTGGCAGCCACAGCACACTACAAAAGAGGGGGTGAGAGGTGCACGACCGACTGAAGCACGTGACACAGGATGTGATGTCAAATTCAGCATGCAACACCCTCGACATGGCGATAATTATTAATGACAATATTTAAGTCATGCCACTAATACTGTAGAGTGAGCGTAAGCCATAATAATACACTGACCTTTATACTTAAGTGAGCACTCAAAGCGCTTTCTGCTGCAAGCCTCATTCAACCAATAACACACATTTCATGCAAGTGCTTCTGTTTACATCATATAGGCTTCCTTCATACTGCCATCATTAGCATCATTCCCAGCTCTATCTGTCAATGAACAGAGACACCACCCATCAATTAGTTTAAAAACAGGAATGTCTCAAAGAACTGGATGACCTCTAACTTTCTTCTTCCAAGTTCAGATCAAACGGAGATTACTGTACTCGGCCCTAAAAATCTTGGGAATATCAAACCAGATTCTTCCTCTGGAGAGCATTTCCTGCAGTAACACTGTGAGGAATCATGGAGTCATGTTTGACCAGGACATGTCCTTCTCACCTTCAGTACTCAAGTTAAACATTGCAATCAGTGGCTGACAAAGTGACTGCTATACATCCTTCACTTATTCGGGTAAAGAGTGGCACTAACATAAATTCTTTTTAAAGAGAGATGCGGCCAAGAGGACAACAGAAACTGTAACCGTAACCGGTATAGCTCTGACTTACTTTATATAACCTTTTTGCAAACCCTGTTCTCCACAGCCTATCTAACAATAGAAGTAAATGTACTGTACGTTGGAAACACAAAGAAACATCGAAAATTACTTTCTGGCACAGCGCTGCGCGGATCTCCCGGGTTACTGATTCTGCGCAGTCCCGGCTCCTGTCCAGCCAGCTAGCACGCTAATGCTAAGTGCTGTTGCGCTGCAGAGCAGCGATAAGAGAACTGCCGGGGATCATTCTCAAAAAACATTTCACCCTGTCAGTGGTTTACCTGACTACTGGCGCTAACACCGACCCGGTAGTTTACAACGACGCGTAAACATCGACTTCCTCTACGCTTGCGTCTCAGAAGCTGCTGCCCCCAGCGGCCACAAACTGTGGCTGCAAAAGGATCAGACGAGCCTCCCGCGATAAGTCTACACAGAAAAGCGCGTTTCGCCCGGGAAGCATCCTGACAAATACTATGCACCGCTTTATGTTTGGAAGGAGAGTGCGGTGGCTGCCTTTTTTGACATGGAGAAAGCTTATGATATATCGCGGAATGTTTTTAATAAAATTAAAGGAGATAGGAATTAATAGTTCAATGTTTTTTTTATATATATTTTTTACATGATCGGTGAATACAAGTAAGAACAGCACAAAGTGTTTCAGGGATTTGTTTTGTTTTCTGAGAATGGTTTCTCCCAGGAAAGTATAGAGAGTCCACATTCTGATCTATCATTATTACTGATAAGTTTGAACATTTGGAGAATGGATTGGGCTTTTCTGATGATGGCATAATCTGGAAGAGGGGTAAAATGTAACGTTTGCTTTTAAAAAGATAAAAGAAGAATTTAATAAGATAGAGGATTGGTCCTTTGCATTTGGATAAAACAAAAGCACATTTTTTAACAAGGAAAAACGTTTCTGGAAATCTGAACCTGCAAATTTACACTCATGACTTGAAAAGGTTAAAACAATTTACGTTTTTGGGAATATGGTTGTATGGAAAATTGACCTGGAAAGTACATATTCCAAAAATAATTTATAAATGTAAAAGAGTTTTAAATGTTATGAGGTGTCTGGTTGGGAGAGAGTATTTTAATAAGGTCAGTATTTGATTATGGCAGTACAGCATTTGGTTCAGCACAAGTTTCATTACTCAAAAAACTATAAAACATAGAGTATCAACATTAAGATTATTTATAGGTGCCATAAGAACAACTCCAACACCAAGAAAAACCACTTCAGCTGAGAATATGTTCTACATACTGGTTTAATTTAAATACCCATAATGAGGATCATCCATGTCAAGAGATTTTAAAACTACGTTGGGGAAAGGAAAAAGAAGCAATCAAGTCATTTTGGCTGCACAGTAGACAAGATTACAAGGGATTAATGTTAAGGGTCTGAACGGGATAATGGGAAGGGCCAAATGTACCACTGTCCAGTTGACTGTCTGTCCTTTGCCAATAATTTCAATAATTTTATACTTGTTTTGATACTGCAGATTTTAAAGAAAGGACAATGGACTGTGATGGCTGATGTAGCCCAGAGCACTACAATTCATCTGTCTGAGGAAATGGTTGGCAAATGTTTGTCTATGATTGAGCCATATAAAGCATTTTGAAAGCTTGTTAAGCACAGTTGAAGGGGAACTTAGGATCTTGATCAAACTGTTTTGGTTTGTATTAAATACTTGTATAGTTCCTAGAATACGGAAGACTAGTGTAATTAAGAAATAATTAAGACACTTCTCAACAGGCCAGGTTCCAAAGCCCTTAGTGAGTTTCGTCCAGTGGCCTTGACCCCTGTGCTTAATGTATGGAGCAAGTGGTTAATAAATAGCTCACCTCTTCAGTGGATCAGTGGGAAAAAGTCACAAAGGGCACAGGAAGTGCAATGTTGCTGATTTGACTTCTGCCTTCAATGCAATGAGGAAATACATTTTACTTCAGCGAGTATTTAAAGTGTGTGTGTGTGTGGGGGGGGGGGGGGGGGGATAATAACCTCATTTGTTGATTTATCTTTGCAAAAGATAAGAGCTTGTCCCAAATGCACAGGCAAGAATGCACATCAAAAGAATCCATATAAAGAATCCTGCAATCCATGTTGCAGGAAAATGAACTTTTGTTTTCAAGAAGAGGCAGTATAACATTATTGTTCTTTACGAAATATGAGAGAACTGTTACATAATTTACAAAACAACAAATTGCAGCTGGACATAAAGACGTTTTGGACAAATTTCTAGTTCAGATGTTCTTTTTTGTTGAGGTACTTAAGTTAATAGAGAGAATATAGTTTATAATTTTATTATTATATATTATAAATATATGGCTTGATGTATACTCAATCATCCAGGAAAGGAAATCCCAAAGGGTTGATTCTGTGTGTCTGGATGGAGCATTTTCAGTGGGAAACACGTTTCATCACTCATCCAAGTGACTTCTTCAGTCTCAGCTGACTGCAGGTTTCCCTATAACCATATCAACAGCACATTTACACATTGACTGAAACTACCACTGGCAAACAATAGGGTGTGAGGTCAGTCCTAGATATATATGTAGAAAGTTAGTATACCATTCACACTTCACTCCAGTTGGTGGAGGTACTGCACCAAAACGTTACTTGCTAACCGCCAATAAGAAGCCGAAGAAGTCCGCTCCAGTGTATATTAAAAACTCAGTGTTCAGTTCTTTTTTAATCAATTTAATCAAGGGACTCTGACACAGATAGTTGAGCATTGCTGAATTACTCTGAATTTTTTTTTTTTTTAAATCTGGCATTCGCAGAATCAGTTACAGATGTCATTCCCTCTTCACTCTTAAAAAATGGACAACCTATCTGTCTGGACCCTATAATGACATCAGTGTCCTCTTCATTAAAACAAAATAATTGCAACATACAGTCTGTATCACCATATTTTCCAAAACAGAGGACACTTGACCCAGTCATGAAGAACTTTAATGATACTGTTTGCTTAATGAAATTTTTAACACATTTAAACGTTGCCTTCATTTAAATATGTTAATTTAAATATGAAATTAAAAAATGGAATTATATAATGGTACAGAAATAAGGCCTCATCTGTATAAGAAAAATAGGTACGAGGGAATTTTTTTTGCAGTTCGTCTGAAAAGCTGCAGTTGTGCTTTGGCATTTTTTTTAAACATCAATAGGCGCTGATGCACGCAGTCTGTCCCGTCTGTGAGCGCAGAACAACCACAAAGCTGCTGCTCAGGGATGAAGTCACACATATGAGTCCTCTGTGGGAAAATCCGGACATTTTCATTAGTCTCGAAAATCCCCCCGGTTTTTTGCTGTTTCACCATTACACTGACATTTCCCAGTGCTGATATGTAAAACCATTAAAATACAAAAATACAAAATCACCAGACCTGGCATGTGTGCAAAATTTCATGAGTTTTTGAGCATGTTTAGGCCCTCAAAAAGGCCCTTGTTTTCCCTGAATAATAATAATAAGAAGAAGAAACGGAGCAGACACAATAGGGCCTTCGTACTCTCAGTGCTCGGGCCCTAATAATAATAATAATAATAATAATAATAATAATAATAATAATAATAATAATAATAATAATAATAATAATAATAATTATTATTATTATTATATTATTATTATTATTTATTATTATTATTATTATTTATTATTATTATTATTATTATTATAAGAATCATCAGGGCGGACGCTACTCCACACGTCTGCACTAGGGGGCGGACCATCCCGCAGCTGCCCTGTTGTGATTGGTTGAGACACTCCAAACCGGGATATTTTGAAAACAGGGTGGCTGCTGCTAGTTTTGTGACTGTTTTCCGAAGAGACGTTAGTGGCTTTTAGCCTAAACGTGCAGAAGAAAAGATTTTACAAGTTCTTTATGGAGCAGGATTCGTGGGATGCTGCGTGTCCGGGGAACGACGCGTCAGACGTGGTCGTGGTTAATCTGGACTTTGGTAACGGAGACACGGACAACGGCCCGGCCGATAAAGGCTACGGCGGGGCGGATATAAGTCGAGGTCAGCAGCAGTGATCATCCGCGTCCGCGTTGTAATCTTTTAAAACAGGAACCAGCTTGTAGGTTTCCTGCCGTGCATTTGACTGCTCTAGCACTGCTTAACTGACCCATGTGTGCTAATGACAGCGCATATGTGTTTGTAGCAGGCCTGTCACGTTAACACTGTTAGCTTTCATGTTTCGCTCACGCGACGCGTCCACGCAGACGGTTCTGCAACAGTGATGCAGATAAACGTGCACACATCGTGCTGTAGGCTGAACCTTCAACACTACTGTGGCACTAAGCTATGCTTACATTTTGAATGGCTCTTTCAGCCCTCTGTGCAAATGTACCACATGCTAGTATGCGCTCCAGCTGTTAGGTGTCGCAGATTAAGTGGTAACGCTCAAACAGATGTGTGGTAGACTTGCTTTTCAGGAGTCCCTACAAATAAACCAGGAAATAAACGCTGAATATTTCATTTATGAGGTTAATTGAAACACAGTCCGTCAGTCTTATTGCTTTTGACCAGTAAAATAGTCCATATGAACAAAGATTTTCCTCCATGGTGTTTCCGTCTTTAACAGCCTTGTTTAAAAACGAGGAGGAGAAGAAAGATGAAGATGGCAGTGATGACGACAGTGGAACATACTACTATAACACTGAAGCGTCGGGGACTGGGCTGCAGAGACGTGAGCCACCTTCAGGAGGAAGTTCAAGTCTTCCTGACACGTTCCAGACCAGCCACCTGTTGTTCTACGAGAGGTTCAAGGCCTACCAGGACTACATGCTCGGTAACCAACGTCTGCTAATATTAATAATCATAACTCTGAGAAATTAGACTGCTGATCTCAGTCCTTGTGTTCTTGTGTGTGTAGGAGACTGTAAGCCTTCAGAGGTGAAGGACTTCACAGCAGACTACCTGGAGAAGACGGTGGAGCCATGTGACTGGTTGGCTCTTTGGTCTACTGATATCTTTGATGTTCTGGTGGAGGTAACGTAATGCTTTCATTAACCTGTGATCACACAGTCTAGTCATAACGACGCTGTAAGGACTGCTTTCCATCCCTCTCTGATGACACGTGTGAAAGCGGAGTCTGCAGGGTGATGGCTGTAGCTGTGTACTCCACTCTGCATCATGTTTAGCTGCGTGCAGCAGTTTGCAATATTAGTTTGTTCAAAAACCATCTCAGCTTTGTCAGCTTTATCAAACACCGATTGCATCTTGAACTTGTGACATTGATGTTTGTGGCTCACACTGACTTGATGTCATTCATGACAGAATGTAGGCCAGCGAGTCCTTTACAGCAATGCCTACAAACGATGCTGGCTGCCGTTCAGCTGTAGTGGTTGTAGGCTGTCAGTGCGCCGTTTACCTCAGCTGTCAAAATGTCTGTTGTCCACATCATTTACTCTGGAGGGAACTGTAAGTGTGAAAGGAGTCGAGATGCATGGATCAGTCACTTTTGGCTCATGACAGAGATGTTGAGGATATTCTGAACTTTTCTGTCACTAAGTCTTGCCTGTTTTATTTTTGTGCAGTCTCTGTTAGGAGAAACGTTGCTTAAAGTGGATCTAACGTTGCCAGACTCTGACATGTAGTGAAAAAACTTTTATATTGTTTAAGAATGTAATCTAAGTGTTTATCAGAGGGAAAGTGTGATTTGTAGGACACTAGAGCCTGACATGCTGACATGATGTTAGCTTATGACCAGCTGGTCTTTATCTGGCTTGTAGTCAGCTGTCCTGAGACAGAAGGGCCAGATGTGTAATCTGCTGTGACAATTTCAGGAATAAACAAGCATGTTCATACATTGTCTAAGGAGCTTG